CATGGAACATAAAGCTAACACCAGAGTGACCATAAAATTTATTGTCCAACCTGGGACACTGAGTGAAAAGGGAGTGCTCTCCATGATTATACCAGGTTGACAAACTTAAGTGTAGAGCATGGGACTGTCTAGAGCAAGTCATGAAAGGCACTGACTGACCTTACAGAAATGTCTGAAACAGCTTGGGATGATGGGTAACCCCCATGTCACTATCTTGTGAGCCTAGCTGCTGTTCTTTCCCTCCCACCAGGTTGTAATGCCTCAGAGCCAGGATTGTGTTTAGTGCTTACCTTTGACTCAAACAAAGAATCTCACCCTGTTCTCTGCATTTCACAGGTATTCACAGCTTATTCCTATAGACTAAGTTCAAGAGGGCAAGCAAAGTATGGATTTTGGCTGCAGGCAGGGTCCAAGGGGTAGCCATAGGCAGAATCCCCATGAAAATCCTGAGGGTTACAAGGAAAGTGCTGAAAAAGGCAAGGCATAGGACATTAAGAAACTTTCCTTACATTCCTTTCCCTGACTGGCCCTGTGGCCCTTCCCAATGGGTTTCCTCACTCTGCCCCACTGGCCCAGCTCCTCGTCTTTTCCCCATGCTCCCTTTCTTGGGTCTTTTTAATTGTAAGCTTGGGAGTTCCTGTTCCAGGGCTAGAGTTTGTGGGCTCCCCTAGGAGTCATTTGTCTTTACCTCCTCAATCCGTCTATAGTGTTAAGAACCTCTGTGGAGGTAGGAGATAGTTCTGTGACTCAGGTAAAAGGTGAGTGCATTGTGAAAAGTGGCCAGGCATCAGTGGGTGGAATCAGATGCACAGATGCTGGTTCTGACCCATCTTTCCATTTCCTATCTCATTTTTCCCTTTGGCTGAAAGGAGGCTCTTGTCTATCTGAGCCCCAATATATGAACTACAGAGTCCACAGACGATGTGGGCATCCACAGCCTGGCAGAGGGTTTGGAGATAATGAGGAGGAGATCAAAACTAGGGAGCAGTTATTCTGTGTCTCCTCTCAACCAGTAAGTGCAAATACTGGGGAAAGAAAATGAAGTTATTCTGATGCTGGAAACTCCTCCACACTGCCAGATTTATTTTTCTGTAGGAGCTCTGCCCAAAGATGAGAGAGGGTATTTTTCTTGTCAATTCCTTTCTCTCTTCTTACAATTTGTATGCTGGTTATCCGTTCATGTTTTCATTTCTATATGTTTATCAGCATTATCCTTTCCTTCTGTTGTCTGCCTCTATCAGAATGTTTTTTTCCTTTTTCTTTTAGTTAGTCATTTACCTCTTACTTTGATCTATTTCTCTTTCTTCACTCTTTTTTTTTTCTCTTTGGAACTGGGGGTTGAACCCAGGATGTTTTACCAATGAGCTATATCCCCAGCCCTCAACATATTTTTTTTTTAAAGAGAGAGAAAGAGAGAGAGAGAGAGAGAGAGAGAGAGAGAGAGAGAGAGAGAGAGAATTTTTAAATATTTATTTTGTAGCTTTCGGCGGACACAACATCTTTGTATGTGGTGCTGAGGATCGAACCCGGGTTGCACGCACGCCAGGCGAGTGTGCTACCGCTTGAGCCACATCCCCGGCCCCCCTCAACATATTTTTGAGATGGGTGTCTCACTCAGTTGCTTAGGGCCTTGCTAAATTGTCCAGGCTGGCCTCCAATCTGCAATTCTCCTTCCTCAGCCTCCTGAGTTGCTGAGTTTATAGGTGTGTTTCACCATGCCCTGTTAACTCTCTCTTTTTCTTTCCCTAATGTTTTATTAATTTTTACCTCTTCTTTTTCCCTTTGTCTGGATTGGGATTTAGCTATATGTTCCTGGGTTGAAGATGGGCTTACTGAAAAAGGGCAAAGGATAAGTGAGAAGAGGTAAGGTGAGGGGCAGGAAAGAGAGGGATGATATGGGGCATAAAGTCTTCCCATCCCCAGAAGAATACTATAGGTGGCTTATTTTATGTTGTTACTTCTAGAAAAAAAATGCAACTGAGCACCTACCAGAAAGGCTAGATAGAAAAAAAAATAGCATGTGAGATGCTGGAGGAAATTTGATTTGTTTCCACAATCTTATTATTATTTATTCAACAATTATTTACTGATAATATAGTATATACAAGGCACTATTTTAGGAACCCAAGATCATACTGAGCAAAAGTGTCACCAGGAGGTATAGGTTCTAGTCAGGAAGGCAGAAAACAAACAAATCCATACAAATAAAAGGCAGTGTGCCTTATTGGTCTTTCATGCTTTGGGACAATGAAGGCTGGAAAGTGATCAGGGATGGAAGAAGGTTTTCAATTCTAAATAGGGCATTGAGGAATGGCTTTGCTGAGAAGGTAAAGAGGAGATAAGTGAACAAGGCAGAGCATATCTAGAAAGAGCCTTCTGTGAGGAGCCAAGAGCAAGTGCCAAGGTGCCCAAGGCTGGTGTCTCCCTATAGTATGGGAGCAAATTCAGGGAGGCTGGTGAGATTGGAGTCAGGGAATTCTGAGGAAAGCAGAAGGAAAAGAGGTCTGGGTGATGTGAAAGGGCCCACTGATGAAAATCTTACATTTATTCAGGCATCATTTTGGCTTTTATTCTAATAGAGATAGTTCACTCTAGTGTTGTGAGTCAGCAGACTGGGGGGGGGTAAGTGAGGAATTGGGAGGCAAATCAAGTCATGGGACATTTCCATTATCCAGGGAGCAATGATGATGGCATAGCTAAATAGGAGTAGGCAGGAGTGAGAAGTGTTCTGGGGTGGGTATATGTTGGAAGAAGAGCCAGCAGTGTTTGTTTTTCTTTTTTAACTTTATTTTTTTTTTGTTTATTTTTTATGTGGTGCTGAAGATCAAACTCAGTGCCTAATACAAGCTAGGCAAGTGCTCTACCACTGAGCCACAACCCCAACCCCAGCAGTGGTTTTGGATATTTGGGATGTGTGCTTGAGAAATAGAGGAGTCAAGGATAACCTACATTATGTGACTGGGGCACCTGGACAGACACAGTATTAACTGAGCTGAGAAGGAGGTGAGGATAGGTATTTCTTCAGGGTAGAAAAACAGCTCCACTTTTCCACTTTAGGGAGGGCAACCCCATTGGACACACAAGGAGAGGCGTTGAACACACAGTGAATATGACCATAGGAGCTCAAGAGAGCCACCCAGGATGGAGCAAGAAATGTCCTTCATCAACTACATGGTATTCTCATATAAGACAGTGGGTGGGAAAGAGCAGTGGGAGAGCATGTCCTTGAAGGTGCACACAGCTGAGTGCCTCTGTGTCCTGTTGGACACATCTTCAGCACAGAAGAGTAACTTCTGCTGTGAGGGATAGGGAAAACCTGGGTTGTTCTGTTGGATGATTGAGACTGAGGTCAGTATGGCTAAGATGGTGCTTTAAGGCTGTGGAAACAATGATTTGCTCCTACCAATAGCATATCTGGGTATTACTGTTTGGAAGGACACTTGAGCACATCCTTTTGAGCATAAGTCAGGACATGCTCTGTTCTATAGGGAAACAGGCTCTATGGCTAATTCCCTGGTCATTGATCTAGCTTGTTCCATCCTCATTTAGGAAATTACTCTGGATCTTTGCACAGACAGCCTCGTGTCCTGTGTAATTGCATCACTTCATCTTTGCAGTGAGATAAGGTAAACATGAATAAACCAGCTTACAAATATGTCAGAGGTGTAATTTCATTCTTTGTGGAGAATCTTCTTATAACCTGAGGGTATTTCTTGAATTATCACTAATTATTCTTCATCAAAAGGAATCTGATAATGAACTCCTACTACATTCAGGTCAAGAAAGGATGTCTTTACTTTATATACAAAGATATGAAAAATTTTGCTCTAAACGTATAATAAGAGTTGTAATGCATTCCGCTGTTAAGTATTTAAAAAATAAAATTAATTAAAAAAGAAAGGATATCTTGCCAGATGCAGTGTCTCCCACCTGCTCAGGAGGATAAGGCAGGAGGATTAAGAGTTCAAAGCTAGCCTCAGGAAAGTGAGGCACCAAGCAACTTAGTGAGAACCTGTTTCTAAATAAAGTACAAAATAGGGCTGGGGATGTGGCTCAGTGGTTGAGTGCTCCTGAGTTCAATCTCCGGAAACCTCCAAAGAAGAACAGGATATCTTGCAATAAACTAAGAGGTAATGGGGTACGTGTCTATGTGTGTGTGTGTGTGTGTGTGTGTGTGTGTATGCGTATGTACATGTGCACATGCAATTGAGTACCTTGCTTGGCACTACAAGGATTTGGATTTTATTTGAAGTAATTTGGGAAGTCATTGACATACTTTTCCAAGAAAATTTGTATCATATAATTTATGTTAGCAAAATCATATTCAAAGAGAGAGGCTGGGAGATCAGTGAGGAAGATAAAATAAGCCAGTTGTGGGAGAATGGTGTCTTAGACTAAATAGTTGCAGGGAGGATAGTAAGAGCTAATTAAATTCAAAGAAATGCTGAATCTCAACCGAGAGTTTTTTTTTTTAAATATAGTTTGAATCTATGAATGAAAGAAATATTGGAATAAAAAATGGTTCCAACATTTTGATCTGGAACAAAAACAGTACTGAGGAACATCTCAAAACCCTTATTCTTCCTTTAATAACATATCTAGGTTATCTTTCTCATAGTCCATATATAATTTACCAAGTCCATGTGATGCCAATTAAAAAGTCAGTGCCTTATGTTGCCATAGATTTTATTGCCAAGATTTTATCTGCTGAAAGAAGATTGACTAATAGTTTTGTGACACAAAAACTTCAGTTTCTGGTCTTCTGGGTATAAGAATGTACAAATATAGACACAATATCCAATCCTATGTACTGGCAAGATCTTTTCATCTGTCAAGGAAATATCAAAGAACATTCTATTGCATGTCCCAAAGCAGTGTTGTTGAAGTCTGATGAATTATAGAAGACTTATCTGAATGAGGAAGAATTCAGAGATGAAATGTGTAACTCAGGCTCAGAATTTCTCTGTCCACCTTTGTAGGTGACTGTGAGTAACTAAACCATGGGAATGTGGTTGAACCAATCATCCATAGATGGATTCATCCTCTTGGGCATCTTCTCCCACAGCCAGACTGACCTTGTCCTCTTCTCTGCAGTCATGATGGTCTTCATGGTCGCCCTCTGTGGGAATGTTCTCCTCATCTCCCTCATCTACATAGATCCTCGACTTCATACACCCATGTACTTCTTCCTCAGTCAGCTCTCCCTCATGGACCTCATGTTGGTCTGTAACATTGTGCCAAAGATGGCAGTCAACTTCTTGACTGGGAGGAAGTCCATCTCTTTTGTGGGATGTGGTATACAAATTGGATTTTTTGTGTCTCTTGTGGGGTCAGAGGGGCTCTTGCTTGGACTCATGGCTTATGACCGCTATGTGGCCATTAGCCACCCACTTCATTATCCTGTGCTCATGAGTCAGAGGGTCTGTCTCCAGATTGCTGGGAGTTCCTGGGCTTTTGGAATACTGGATGGAATGATTCAAATGGTGGCAGCCATGAGCTTACCTTACTGTGGCTCAAGGACTTTGGATCACTTCTTCTGTGAGGTGCCAACTTTATTGAAACTAGCCTGTGCAGACACATCCCTTTTTGACACCCTGCTCTTTGCTTGCTGTGTCTTCATGCTATTGCTTCCCTTCTCCATCATTGTGGCCTCCTATGCTCGCATCCTGGGGGCTGTGCTCCATATGCGCTCTGTTCAGGCCCGTAAAAAGGCCCTGGCCACCTGTTCTTCCCATCTGACAGCAGTCTCTCTTTTCTATGGGGCAGCCATGTTCATTTATCTGAGGCCAAGACGACACAGGGTCCCTAGCCATGACAAAGTGGTCTCTATATTCTACACAGTTCTTACTCCTATGCTCAATCCTCTCATTTACAGCCTGAGGAACCGGGAGGTAATGGGGGCACTAAGGAAAGGGCTGGGCCATTGCAGGATTGACAGCCAGCACTGAAGAGCCAGGGTCTTCAGTGTGCTATCTCCTGAATGGGTAGCATCAGTAATTCACTTATCCTTTGTGAATGTCTGTGTCCTCTTCACTAAACAAGATTCATAACATCTGCCCTACCCCACAGGGACTTTGAACATGCAATCTAAAACCTCATGATTGAACCGTGCTTTTAACAGGAAGAAAGGTAAATGTGCACATTTTAAAAAGGACTTGGGAATCAAATCAACTTTGCTTTAAAAATAAAGCAGAGATGTTTGGAAATTGGTTTTTCCCATTATGAGACCACATGGCTCAAAAATGAAATTAGATTAGAACAATGTTAATCTGCAAATATTGCTAATTAACCTTCTTTGGTTATCACTCTAATTAAAGAGTGGGGTTAATACACTTAGTTCACAATACATATGTGATAATATGTTCTCTGGAAATTTTATGCTATGTTGTGAAATTGCAAAGAATAAATTAATTTGAAACTCAGTCCTAAGTTCAGTTTATATAGCCATATAATATTAACTTGCCTGGGTTTACATAAGGTTGCAAAATATAAATTCATTCCTGAGTATTTATGTATGTGTGTATGTATGCCCACTTGATGTATTACTGAATTGTATGGGAGGCTTCATGATAGGTCAATTGATAATAATGAGACCAAAATAAGTTTGCTATTAATACTATGGTAGGAATATAAAATAAACATAAATTCAATGTATCATAATCATCAATAAAGGCATAAATGAAAAAAAAACCTCATGATTGAGCAATACATTGCTTTTATTGTCATTATTGATTGTTTATAACATCCTTGAACTAAATTCACTCTACTTTCAAAATCCTCTCAGGAATGCCTCTCTCTTGTTAAGTACTAAGTGTTGGGCATTGTCCTATTCCCATTATATACCCTCTATTTTAAAGCGATGTTAAATGATTCAAGTTAATAAATATGGATATCTTTAATGGAAAGTTTCCAGATGGTAGAAATTGAATCTCCATAATTCTTCTTGAATAAAACTTAACATTTTGCCATATTTTATTTTAGACATTATGAATCTTCCTTTAAGAAATGAAAATACACTCCTACTGTTTAAAAGTCATCTCCATGAGGCTCATGTCTTGTTCATATATGTATTACCAGTATGTATACCTTTGATTTTATAAATAGCAGTTGCTCAATAGAACCTTATTGAATTAATTTAAGAAGAAAACATCAAATGAATCAATATCTATAAAGCTTTGTTGTTGGTGGTGTTGGTGTTGGGGATTGAATCTAGGAGTTCTCTACTACTCCTCATCTGTTTTATTTTATTTTGAGACAGGATCTTTCTTAAGTTCCTCAGAATGGCCCCAAACCCGGGATCCTCCTCATCTGGAACAAAATCAGTACTAAGGAACATCTCAAAACCCTTTTTCTTGGCCTCTCCAAGTTGCTGGAATTATATGTGTTTGCCACTGTGCCCAGTTCTATGAAACATTTTAAAAATCCCATACGTATATAAAATTTGCTGTGGTTACTGTGATATATTTCAGTTTTTTTTTTTATACTGGGTATTGAACTCAGGGTCAGTTTATCACTGAGCTATATTCTCCCCTCTTTTTATTTTTATTTGGAAGCAGGGTCTCTCTAAATTGCTTAGAACTTTATTAAATTGCTGAGATTGGCCTTTTAATTTGCAATCCTCCTGTCTTAGCTTCCTGAGTTACTGGGATTACAAGTGTGTGCCACTGTGCCCGCCATATGTTAGGGTTATTGAAACATGGATTCTTGTAGCTTAAACATGTGAGGAGTTGACACTGATCAGCTAGCATTCAAATTTCACAAGGAAACCTGTAGGGTTCACCTGAACATCTGTGAAGGCTGGCCTACCTTCTTATGTTACCTCCAGAGCTCAGAGGAAGCAGAGAGATTTGAAAAGCTGGAACGTGGGCTGGGTGCTATGTGGTTGGTTCTGGTATCCTAAGAGTTTGGAGAAGAGTCTCTGGTCCTAGACTAATGAGAAACAGATATTGGTTAATTAGTGTTTTTTTCCTCTGAAGGTCAACATTGTAATGGTTCTGAGAGTGTGAAAATAAAACCTACAAAGCAAAACCAAGCGTTAGGATAAAGAAACAGTGTGGGAATTATTTTGACAGGAAAAATAAGAAATCATGAAGAAGTAGATATATTTTCCTTTCTTCCTGGCTTATGATCTCCTTCTAGTGTTCCTATTGGCAGTGAGTCTGGATGATAAAGTCGTTCCTGGATCATAAATGGCACATCAAAGAGTGAAGCTTTGGCAGTGGCTTTATAACTGGCAACGTCTTCCCCATGGCTACTCAGCATCCATACATACCATTTTATAATATTTGAACTTCTGTCAAATATCAACATTTATTTTTGCCTAAGAATGTATAACTACTCATATATGTTGTCTTTCAACACTCGGGCATCCATGTGTGGACACTGTTAGTTTTCTCTCATATTCTGTCACAATCTCATTTGAATGTTAGTCACCAACAACCATTGATATATTAATATTGCTAAAATGACCATGCTAACCAAAGTGATATTCAGATTTAATATACATACATATGAAGAAAGAAAACAAATCAGCCTACACACGTACACGCTCCCTTACATATGAACCTGCCAATTGATATTTAAACTTTCTTCTTCTATTTTCCATTTCTTGTTTCCTTAACTACAACTTAATCTATCCTTAGTTATGACTTTATCTAGTGGTGTAATATAGACCTTAATCTGAAGAGGTCTGAATACTCAATTGTTCTGCCCCTGGTTGATGGTTGTATTTTTTGTTATCTTTTACTATTGGACATGGAAATACTAGCAGATACCCTAAAAACTCTCACCTCAGGAGATGGCCCTTGTTATACCTGTTTTAAGCAGAAATCCTTTCTCCCTGGTAGTCAGTGTTAATCACCCCCACTATAATAGAGCTGCTGACTCCTTTGCCTCTTGGTTTTCTAGCATGAGAAATCCAAAATTATTAGGTAAACTTTCAAATTTCACTTGATGGGGTCATTGGTGAATGGATATGGGAGAAATGCCACTAAATCAAAGCACACAGTGAATTCTATGAGATAGCTCCCCATCTTTTTAGAGTAGTTTATGAACTGGCTTTGAAAATGAGTTGGTCAACTGCTTGTAGGTGATGGAATGTACCTGAGACCAGTCAGTTACATGGACAAGTTTATTGTCGCCTTTTGTTTTTCTTTCGCCACTCAACAAATTCCTTGATCAGAAGCAATGTTTGGCAAACTATCTTAATGTATCTGAGGAATTATGTAGGTACATAGATGGTGATGCTTATCAAAAGCATTACAAGCAAGGAAATCAAATCTATATCTAGAATAGATGTCTGTTCCAGTGAGATTAAATTGCTACTCTATTCATAGTGAAAGGGATCCAATAAAATCAACCTGCCACTAGGAGGCTCACTGATTCCCCAAAGGAGAGGTGCCATGTTGGAACTCAGAATTAGGTTCTACTGGTGGAAGATGAGGTACTCAGGAGTAGTAAGCAGGTCAGCTTGCTGAGGACATCTACACGTTGGTATGCCTATCACATAAACTCTTGTCTGTACTACAGTAGCCACATTGCATATATATCCCATTAAACAAAACAAGAGTTGTTGTCTTCAGAACATGATGTTTTATGAAATGTTAGAGAAATTATGATCATTGTAGATTTTATTAGGGAATAGACAAATTAATGCAGTCCTGAGACAAGATCATAGAGTCATACTGTTGGTACTAAAATCTGCTTTTAATGGCCTTTGTAAGCTGTTATAGAGAAAAATATTTCCAGGTGAATAAGGTGAATACCAGGCATGAAGGGCTAAATTGAATTCTTCCAGTAAGGATGACAACATCAGTAACATATACTGTGATTAGAGTCATCATTTGATTAACTTCACATAATCCACAGTATTTTTCAAAATTACATTTACTTTCTGTACAGGTTAAAAAAAATGTGAGCACATTTTAGGATCTACTGAAGAGAAATTAGGAGAACAACTCATTCAAAAGAGTCTCAAAAAATACTTGGGAATTAATCTAACAAAAGAGGTGAAAGATCTCTACAATGTAAACTACAGAACACTAAGGAAAGAAATTGAAGAAGATCTTAAAAGATGGAAAGATCTCCCCTGCTCCTGGACAGGCAGAATTAATGTTGTTAAAATGACCATACTACCCAAAGTGATACTCAGATTTAATGCAATTTCTATTAAAATCCCAATGATGCTCCTTGTAGAACTAGAAAAAGCAATCATGAAATTCATTTGGAAAAATAAGAGACCCAGAATAGCTAAAGCAATCCTTAGCAAGAAGAATGAAGTTGGATGCATCACAATACCAGACCTTAAACTATACTACAGAGCCATAGTAACAAAAACAGCATGTAGGGTCTGGATTTGTGGTAGAGTGCTCACCTAGCACGTGCAAGGCCCTGGGTTTAATCCTCAGCACCACATAAAAATAAATAAATAAATAAACAAACAAATAAATAAATAAAGGTGTGTGTGTGTGTGTGTGTGTGTGTATAAAACGGCATGGGATTGGCACCAAAACAGACACGTAGACCAATGGTAGAAGCCACAGGGACAAATCCATATACATACAGTTATTTCATCCTAGACAAAGGTACCAAAAACATTCATTGAAGAAAAGATAGCCTCTTCAAATGGTGCTGGGAAAATTGGACAGCTACATGTTACAAAATGAAATCAAACTCCTATCTCTCATCCTGCACAAAACTCAACTCAAAGTGGATCAAAGACTTTGGCACTAGGACAGAGACCTTGCACCCAATAGAAGAAAAAGTTGGCCCAAATCTTCACCGTGTCTACCCTAGGATCTGACTTCCTTAACAAAATTCCTAAAGCATAAGAAGTAAAATCAAGAATCAATAAATGTGATGGATTCAACCTAAAAAGTTTCTTCTCAGGAAAGGAAACAAAAACATGAAGAGATAGCCTACAGAATGGGAGAAAATCATTACCATATGC